ACTTGTGCAGTATTTATTGCTATGTTGTTACATATTGTTTTTTGTTTCACACTGTATATTAAATCTCAGCCATGATGAATATAAAATATTATGTTAAGTCGGCAGTTGATAATAACTAAGGTGTTTATACTTCATAGCTTTTCTGTGGTTGAAAACTAAGTAGTATCATTACTCAATCTTACCCTGATCACAAGCTTGTGTTTCAAGGAGTTTCTCATTTCGAGTGTTTCTTTAAGAGTCTTTGTCGTAAATATTTTTCTTACCACAACTGCCTAACTTCAGATATCCGAAGTATCAAGTTTCAATTCTGATGCCATCTTTACTGATGAAGACTGGCTGCGTGAATTGTACTGAATGCAGCGGTCTTAACTTGACATTCTCAACTGGAAACAATTGACGTTTTCTCTTAGTCTTTGCCAACGAAAGATGTTTAATTTCGTAAATATCGTTATTATCTTACTATTAATTTCCAATTTTTGTACAGTATCCATTTGCTAGCGCTTGTTAAACAACTTTGGCGCGCTTGATCACTCCTCCACTGTTATATAATATATACAGACCTGTTGTTAGCGCTACCGCACCCCAACGTTCACGTTATTTTTCAGTTGAGCCCCTTTGGCAAACGAGGGTATCCATATTTCATTCGATTGCGCAGTCTTACACTAACGCCATTTTTTGCTCTATATAATTCTGAAAAGGGTACATTGAAAACCACGTATCTTAATGCGTTAGATAACTTTAAATTTTACTGATTCACAAAAATTACTCATTACCCAACTCCTGAAAGTCAAAGCAATTTAAAATAGGGAACCTAATCCTAGTTGATGGATGCATAGCCAACCAGCAACTTAAATTAGTTTGAATTTCAATGTCACACTCTGCATCAGCAACACAAGCCAAACAAAGGTTTTAAGAAATTGAAAACAATATCACTGAAGGTAAAATTAAGTCATTAGAGATTTTATTAAAAAGTACTTTAATGCTTAGAAATAAAGTGATTATAATTTTACTGTGAGATCAGCAACAGCTTTAATTTCATTGCTTATATGAATAATTATTATGAGATGAATCATTCAGAGGGTTACTGGTATGATATACAAACACAGTTTATATTCACCATTTTCTTCGTTCTTTACCGCACCAGTGGTATGAATAAAGATATTTTCTTTATACCGTTAGGTTGTCTGAATCTTCTCTCTCGATCTTACTTTACACAAAACAGCGGAAGACTTCATCAGAAACTCTCACTGCCATTTGATTAGCACGAGCAATTCATTTGTCTTGTTTTGCAGATAAGTGTCATTTTTCTAGTCAGACTTCCAGAAGGGGTGAAGCAGTTTGCAAGTGTTCCATTGATCAGCCGTTTTGTGCTTCGTGAAAAGCTTTTACAGACAAGAAAATAAATTTATGATATTCAATCGCAAGGTGTCATTGCTTACTATGGTCATTGAAGAAAATAAGTCAAGGTCCAAGCCCAGGTTTGTAGACAGCACAAATCAATTAATGTTCAACAATAGCGCTTTAGAGAATTGCCCTTCAAATGACGATCTGGCAAAGCATTTTTCTTTTAAAAATTATTTATGTAAAATTACCTTCATATTTAATATACTCTTAAATTGCATATTTAATAATGAGCTGCAGGTGGCTCTAGCGAATGAACTTTTGGAATAAGTATCTGATGCTGCAGGTTTTCAGGTACAGTGATATAAATCAGGCGACGACTGCATTTATTTTCTGCTGATTTCTATTGATACTAGATTAATTTAATTATATATTTCCACGTATTGTGAGCATTTATATCCTTCTGCTATTATAGTCACTATTAAAACAGGCTGTGAAAATGTTTCAATCTGGTTCGTTTTTCATCTGGCTGTCATCTTTAATCAATCCACTGTCTGATAAAATTTGTTTAACGGGGTCCAGGCAGAAAAATAAGTGTCTCAAGGTTTTCTCTATCGGTGACTAAATTAAGTGTAAACAATAGAAAAGTTTATACTTTAACCTTTCAGATGCGTAGGTTTAAATTCAGAAGAAGGATTGCTCAGGTGGCGGACCTTAGCATAGGACTGCAATAACCTGATCATTAGTTTAAAAAAATAAAATATGTTTTTCTGGAATTTTTAACACGTTCAGCGACTGAGGGACGAGGAGCAGAAGAAACTTGCACTGCGCACCATTTGGATAGGATTTGTAACAGATTCAGTGCTACAGAGTACGTCGAAATACTTATCTACTCAAGAAATTATAGTGATTTTAGAATGCTGTACCCAAAATCTCGAAGTTTAATTCATTTGGCACCATTCACTCGTTTTCTACATGCCCTTGCACGATTCTTCCCACGACTGGCACTGAATTATATATTCTGCCCTTGGCACTTCCATGACTGCACATCGCTACGGTTGCACATGAGTTTAGGTAATTCCTGTCCTTGTTCGTTCACATTACACTCTATTTTCTCAATGATCTAATGTTCATATTACCAAACAGTCGCTCAGTGCAGCAGTTGAATTAGGAACTAATATAGTAACATCGTGGTAACCACGATCACCAAACAAATGTAAAATGGGGACAATTTCCTTGAAAGGAATGAATTCAAGTCTGAAGCTGTTTCAAGAAATTGCAGTGGATTATCGTCGAAAGGAAGGGCCCACAGGAGAATGCTGTTGATGGAAGTGAGGGACTGAAATCGGTTCGGTGCTCAATGAATGCAGTCAGAACGCGTTTGCTACGGAAAATGGCCACCTGTCCACGAGATGCTGAAGCGGACGAAACAAAGCCCTATTCATCTGTGATACTTTCGAGCGCCTGCGCTTCCCTTCTGCCATTTCCCGTCGGTATTGGCCATGACCGATCTTGACAATCACGATGAGATACAATCTGTACAGCAGCGCTGTGCACCACCGAGTCGTCGCCAGTCAGGACCTGGTTTGCCGCTCAACTAGCGCCTCTTCCGTTGGCCCACTTTGGCTGTGGCCGTCGCCGTTGTGGATCAAGATACCATCTGACACTTGTGACGCCAGTGACGCCGATGAGTCCGGTTCCACGCCACCACGCCCAGACTGTCACATCATTGTCGTGTCAGACGTTCGGGCACGCGTCCTCCAGCGACCATCGATGATTGCACATGGAGACCGGTGACATGGTCATGTGACAAGAGCTGTCGTCCGGTCACTGTGACCCATATCTAGCAGTGTAATTTACGGCTTCAGTCTGCAGTCAGGTTTTTGGCCGTCATTTTGACCTGTTCGCATCGACGAGGCGCCAAAATCCCCCTCCGGCAACCTGCCAGCAGCGAAAAGCCCCGCCGCTGCTGATCAGACGTTATAACGTTGGGGATTCGATTGAGGATGGCAGTTCCAACGATGGTCATTGTCTGTCAGTTACCCTGATATTAAAAGGAGAAGATAAATAAGGAAAGGGCCATAAGTTCCCAAAAGGTTGCCGGTAGTGATTTGAGTGATTACTTTTTAGATTTATTTGAAGTTAATAGATCTAGTTGTATCGCAACACTTTTTGCTGGGAAATAAAACCACACTAACCCACTTGTGAGAGACAACGCACAAATTTACGAGGTACGACTTTCTTACTTGTAACTCTGTTCCACTTTTCTCCTGAGCGTTAGGCATTAAAACCTAGTTTTTTGACAGCTGATCCCTGTGAGCCTTCTATGGTTGGTTTCATTTACAAAAGCGAATGCACCAGCGAGTCGTTTTCACTTGTTGGAAACTGGAATCTGTCTTCCAAAACACATGTTCTTCGAAAGTTTCAATGAAGTTCTTCACACGCTTTAAGTTTTCCTGACTCAAAGCGAGTTTCACTACTGCAGGAGACAGGAAAAGGATATAATTTGCAACAATCTATACACGCCTCACTCCATATTTCACCCTAGTTGTAAGACCATTTAATTTTTTGTATTGTATAAATGTTTGTTCAGATATTTTCTTTAAAGATACAGCAAGTGCCAAATTTTGATTGTAAAAAAGTAAAGTGAATTATCTGTTTAGTCGTTAACTGACTTTCTGGTTTCTGTGGAATGATATCTTGTTGTTGGTCGCTGCTATTGCGCTGAACTTGAGAGGACCATGAATGCGAACCGTGGGAAGGAAAATGAGATTGAACCCTAAGCTCATTGCTGTATACTCTGCCCTTAAAACCAGGCACTCTTGATTTAAGAATTAGAAACCGCGATCAGCGTAGTACTCTGAGCTTTGTAGAAATAACGGCATCATAAGTGGCCCCTAATCATGAAAGTATAAGGGAGACCGCCATCCCAACGATTGCAAACTTCCATTCATGTTTTTCTAGATGTACCCACTGAAATGCCATTTTCCGGGTTATCAGTTTGATCAGTCTTTTATTTTACCGCATCGGATAGACAATTTATGATTTAGTCATGTCGTGTTTAATATAAAATTCTCGTTACTGAAGCAAGCAAAACTTAGTTTCACCTACTTCTGACCATAAAAGAAATTTCTTATCAAAGCAACTTGAGTTTTAGCCTAAATTTAAAAAAATTAAATTGTGGATCGTTCCTGTCATTGTTGAGAGATGTGACAAAACAAATTCAATATGCGAAGTGTCATTTTCACACTTCAGGTTTCCTCATATTTTTGTGAAATGAGTCGGTGTCAACAAGTTTTGCAGACCTACTATGATCGTTCGCTTGTCAACGATTATTGAACACGTTTCTGAATTTAGAGACTTTCTTGTTCGTTTCGGCAAGCGATTTTTAATTATTGCGCCTGCTCATAATTGAGAAGTTTCTCAAATCACTCTCGCCAGCTGGAATAGATCCTGTTTGTAAAATGTGAAGGCATCCACACATGTCCTTAGAATGGAAAACAGCTCTTCTTTCCGTCTTGGAGGCAGCGGATGGTCCGCCAGAAACCTTTGCTTTTTGTCAGAAAATTTCACCCCAACACCTCACCGAACTTCTCCCAGGAATCAGCTGTCATTTTAAACATTATTTTAGCTGCTGTTTAGCTCTTCTTCTCGCCACATAAGAGTAAAGGTTCTTTGATTCCAAGCAATCTTTTCAACTTAGCCCTTCTCGTCGACAGCCGTTTGAACCTTCAGTTTCAACCAGGAAATTCGTTTCTGACTCACAGGAGCCAATTCAAACCACATTTAACGTCAACCCTGAATTAGGCGCTCTTAATGAGCCATCATTCGGTTTCCACTCCAAGAGTCATTAGTTGGATCTGTTTAAACCGTCGTGCGATATTATTTGCGAGTTTGGCATTCCTGTTCCCAGAACATAACGTTTTCAATTTGACTCTGTGGTTGCTTTTGCTTCCAGATAACTGCATGATCTCTATCATCTGTAGCAGATGATTCCAGCAATGAGGTGACGATCGGCTATCAGCTCTGCACCTATCTTAATGCGAATATCCAGTATTAAGCGTGATAAATCAGATGATATGATTATCAAGTGCGGAAGAGATTTTTATGTACAAGCTCCCCTCTACCAGATGTACTTTGCGTCGATTTGAAGAAGGCGTTTATATCAACAATATCAACAGAAAATGCCACAATTGCGCGCTATTATTGTTAGATCGCTATGACGTTTTTCCCAAAAAATCTATCAATAAAGTTGGGATCTACCTGAATACCATCACAAGTCCGAACACGGATCGCAGAATCGATACCTTAGAAAAATAGCTTCCTTCCGCAGTAGGTCCAGAAGCCATGTGACGAGGTTGAACCACATCCAGTTGGTTGCTTGCTGCTTCGTCAATTAGCTCTTGGTCTGTCCCTCCAAAAGAGAATATATTCAAATTTTCGACTGTAAGCTCTCACTGTGAGTATAGTTCCCATGTAACCTTATTTGACATGCAATAGTTGAAATTGCGCTTCCTGCTTCCTCCATTCAGAGGTATAGTGACTTCATTGCTGACTAGTGTCTTCCTCATCTTCGTGCATGTCTTCGAAACCCCTGACCGTGTTCTTGCGCTTCTAACTGTCAGAAGGCATGAGATCGGTTCTGATCACTGACTTACACTGTATGTCCTAATTATCCAAAGCCTGCGCGGCCCCTGGTAACCCGAACGACGACGAAGCTGTATGAAGTCCAGTCCTGTCAATAACATAAAGGCAGTTGACTAAGTCTAAAGGTTGAATTCGCCAGGTCCCCAAGTGCCCTTCTTTTATAACGTGAGACTCTTGGAACAAGGCAGCTGAATTCACTTCGTTATAAATCTGTTTATAAGATGAATTTCCTAATTGCAAACCAAATGAAAACACGCCAGCAAAAGCTGGATGCCTTTTTTAGCTATGTTAACTTTGCAGGGAACGGAAAGTGAGGACTCGTGCGCAAAATTGGCAAGTGATGGAGAAATATGCGCAATATGAAGAAATGTAGAGAAAAATAATTTCTTTCATCTTATTTGGACTGTGAAGACAAAAATTTCCGCGTTATAGTATTAACTAGATTTGTACTTTTATTTTATCGCTTATTGAACGAAAAGTGACAGATGTCTTATCTTTTATTACACTTGCATTTTATACTCGACTGTATGGCCAGAAGTTGTCGAAAGAAAATTTTATTCTGAATTATTAAGTAGCCGATTAAAAGCTAGCAGCCTCTGGAATCCTATTAACTACAATTGTATCTTAAGAAGAGCGAATGACACAACCCGTTCTGATTGATTCAACATATGCCATAAATTTCAGATCTATCGTCCAGTGCTCCTAATTGCGGTCAGCTTTTAATCCCTTAGGTCTGTTGCTCCATTTAAAGAAATGGAATGTACGAACCATTGCCTTTACTATATTAGCTAATTGTCTCTTTTCAATTTTTAAGAATCTGGTTTTCCATGTTCAACGACGAATGTATTGAATTTAATGACAGCGGGAGGTGCGCTAAAGGCAATACTTCTAAACCGCAGCAGATGCTGTGAATGTTTGCTACGAACTCAAAGCAGTCGACCAATGTGGCATGAATTTGGCTGACAGACCTCATTGTATCCTTGAAGGTGGTTTTCGAATGACGCGCTGTCTGGAAACACGGTGGAGGATTTGAGGACCAGAGTGCAAACGGTCAAATGTCAAAAGTTTTAGTTGCAATGAGCTTGCAACTTTATTAGCCTTTGATGATGATGGCAACAAAAAAATGCATGCTAAGTTCCAAAAAAGCAACTAAAATATTTGCATGTGCCTTGTAGACTTTGGCCAGAGGATGATGACTCAAACATTCAGTTGACGGTTTTGGTCAAGTCCGATAGGATCTGAAGTAATGACGTTGCATAGCCTTTTATAATCACGTCATCTTCCCTTGAAAGTACGGATGACATTTCTCATGATCATTTCAGACAATCAAAGTAACTCTGCATAAGTCCGTCACTGCATTCGTCGTGCTGTTAACAAATTTAAATCTTTCTGAATGTTTAGTAAATTAATCATTTTATTTCAGTTCATCGTTGTTTCAATCACTTAGAAATGGAGAAATTCTCCCTGAAAGTTTTAATACTTTTCTTCGAGTCTACTTCGTTCACTGTCTGTAAGAAATGGCATGGTGAGTTTGGTAGTCTCTTCTCACAATAACTAAATTATTTCGTTGAACGAATTTTAATTGCAAATTTAATGCAAACAGCCTGTGAATCATATCAATATGGTAAGCATAAATTTGCAACTGGTGTTCAACTGTCGAGGCTTTAAATCCGTGTACTTTTCTATGATTCCTTAAGTACTTTTGCTGAGTAAACTCTCAGTGGTACGTGTCTCTGGCGGCCGACAACACGAAGAACAATTCCAATTGGCAAATCGTATAGCAACACATGCAAATGCTGATAATCTTTCGAACAGTGTGCGCGCAAAACAGGCATAAATTTTCCCGCTGACAGCTCTGAATGCTTTGAACGATCCGAAAACAATTTGCAGCCACAGCTACAGTACCCCTGGTTATCTGTGGAGCGAAGAATACGCCACCCGCACGTGGCGCCAAATCACACGACGTGCGTCTGCGTCGCGTCGTCTGGTGACAGTACCGGTTTATGTCACGCGTTCGCTGACTCGTTCATAAGTTCGGCATACAAAGAGTCGACGTGTTATGTTCATTAAAGGAAGGACGATAATTCACACAAAAATCAAATCAAGCTTTCTCTGCTCCAGAAAGGAGAACGCTCCACAGTTTTTGGTTCTTGTCAGAGGAATCACAGGGCATCTAGCACGGCATTTTGCGTTTCTAGTAGTCCTGCTGACAGACCAAACAGAATGAGCTTCACTTGGCAGAAACGGCATATTTAGCTCTCAAAACGAAAGTAACACTTCAAAGAAAATATGTCTCTTATCAGAGAAGGTTGATCGACATCGTATCTGAATGCCTTAAACATCGTTAGATGCTACCGCTGCTGAATCGCAGACCAAATCACCATTGCGTCGCTAGAAACCTGTCTTAGCGTGTCCTTAAAAAGTCACAAGTTCCGGCTCAGAAATACTCAAAATTCCCAGAAATAATTTAATCCTTAATAACTTTACGAGTTTGCAAAAACGACTATAACAAACGCTGCCATTATAATTTTGCTATTAATCGCTACGTCAAATAAATAAATCTGTACTGTGAATTTGCGATTCGAAATAGTCTAAATAAGGAAACACAAAATATCTGTGTTATAGACCATTTCTCTAAGCATTTAGACTAAAATATTTTTATGAAGTACGAATCTGTCATGCTGTCACTCTCTTTCACTGTCAAACTCATTTATAGCTTTAGGATAAACTATTTGTGAGCAAAATTATAGCGTCTGTAAATCATCGTATTGTATCAGCTCCATAGTTTGTTTTTAAGCAAATTTTTACTGATTCTTTTTATAGATAGACTCTGAAGTGGTAGGCATTACTTCCGTAGCTAATAATGACAAACGTCGCTAAAAAATGCGCTGGTAAGATATTCAGACTGAATTAGGAGAGGTTCCCTGTATAGTAATTGAATGACCCTCTTTTGACCATACTCATTTTCCTAAACATATTTGGCAATGCGAGTTATATTCATTTACACATAGTCTTTAGTTATAGACGTTCTAGCTATATTTTCTTCAGTGATTATTGTAACAATGCAAGGAATCTTTCAGCATTGCGGGTTACTGAAATATTCTGCGTCACAGTTGTAGATAGATCATTGTGGAATTATAAGTCGTTACAGCAGAACCGCTCGTTAATTCATAAGTGAATCCTAATTCCGGTAGGAAAGCGACATTCCTGCCGTTTTGACATCACTCTTTTAATTTATTTCTAACAGCATGGTAGCCTTACGCAAGCACGCAGTAGACATTATGAAATGCCATTTGTTTTACCCTTTTCTGGTCTTGCATTATGATTGCTACCTCAATGAGTTCCAGATACCCATATAAATATCTTGTCAATTTAAAGTGTGCGATGACGCAGTTTATAGTAAACAGCAAGTTTTACCATAAGATTTATTGTAGAACAGATTTTAGACTGCTCTTTGATCAAGTTATTCTAACCAAATTTATTGAAAAAAATAATGAGTATTATGGAGTCATAGAAAATGAAGCAGTCAATGATATTAGTTACTATGCAACAACAACCGAAATTTAAAGGGATCGTCGTAAGTGGCCTCGAAGTCTTAGCAAACAACCCGACAACGCTTAATAATTTTTTCACCACCGTAAACAGGTACCTATTTCTGATAAAGAAGTACTTGAGAAATTCTTTAAGCATTTACTTCCTTCCATAAGTTACAGAAAGAATAGAAGTTAGAATTTATTGATAACATATTTACAGAAAACTTTCTGGTCACTGATCAGCTATTCTTGTTTAGCTGTGATATGTTGATGGTCGCTAAGAGGAATAAAACATGTCACAAGGTCGAAGTCAAGATATATCTGCGTTGGCGATGAAGAATTCCTTCAAAGAGGAAGCATGCCTTACCTCCCTTCCCCCTCCATCATTTTATCGAATGTGTAGAATTACCATTGAGTATCAGTGAGGAACATGCCTGTCATAACGAATGAAAAAGTGAAATTTGGAGGCATAATCTTTTTCAACTGATCAGCCGTTGCTACATCTTAAAAAGGAACACTGGTCGGCTGCTCTTTGACGGCGTGGTGCTTTAATAATGTACTCTTTAAATTTTCACTCAGCAGTAAATGAAGTTTGTTCAGCATAAACACTTGGTTGTTTTGAATTGCGTCAATGAGACTAATCGAACTTACTTCAAAAAAATTTACCACCTTATTTAAATATATTAAAAACGGAAACTTAGCCAAACAGAGTCCCGTGTTGTGCTTTCGTCAGCAACACTGCCGCAGCTATCCTGCTTTAATCTTTGCCGCTATCGACAATTAATCATTCTGTATTGGAATATAAAGTTTAACAAACAATAGAGCTGGTTCATCACTCATAGATTAGGCTGGCATTTTTTTTAATATTGTCGTTGTCATTCTCCGGTAAGTGAACCACTTGAACGTTCAGAACTCATGAACATTAATTAACAGGAATTACTCTAAATGTGTGAAAGCTTTATGAAATTTCATCGTTGGTCTGTGACCACATTAAACTTCGCTATTGAAAGCAATCTTCGTGCAATATGCTATCAGTTCATGTCATTCACTTTAATTGATCACAGGGGATAGTAAATCAACTGATACCAACGTGTTGTACTTCAACAACAGCTTCAAATCTGAAGCAGTACAATAAGCCACGCCGTCTCTTCAACGGGCAAGAGCGTGACAAAGTGTTCACTATATTTGATATGTTGTTTTTTTCATGCTCTGATGTGACCTTGCCGACGTCTGTGGTTGTCACTTTGGTCCATTTTATGGCACTATCAGCTTAATCTGCATTTTGCGTCTTACTTCACAATCGCTTGCATACCAATTCTTCACGTGGATGTCATTCTTTTCCACGTCATCATTCAAATATCGAAGTTTTCTTGGCCGTGTGTCAAAGCCATTGCAACTGATTTATTAATACTACTAGCCCTATGCGCAAAAAGCCAAAATATTGAGACTGTGTTTCAGGTGCAAGAGAGTGTAATGTCAAACCAAACTACAACCAGGCACGATAACCGGAGAACTTAAGTTTATTTAGTGCAGCAAACCATTGACTGGATTTGATTGCAAAATGGTAGTACAGATATCGTATGACAGACAAACTTGTTACATAATAGTTTAAATTCTGGATGATATATTATTGTGATAATGGCAAGCAAATTTATTACATCTGTGAAATGTCTTCAGTACTTTGTAATAACAGGAGTAAAAGGGTACGCAATTCGCTTCTTTTACATGAGACGAAGCTCATTCCTGACCTGATGCCTTAATTTCATTCATTTTTGATCTAATTTTGATTTCTTACCATGGGAAATGCCCTGTGAATTCTAGTCTTCAATGCATGGACGTCCATCAATTGTGCTTATCATCAAATAAATAGAACATTCACCAAATATGTGACTTTGCTAAATCTTTTCCTGGGCAGGTGTCAAAGATCTTCAGCTTGTTTCAATACCAATGTTTTTAAAGCACTGCTGATATTTATATTTGATTCTAGGTCTTGCACAGTGAATTATGAACTTACAGAAATTTGATTTTCGTTTATAGAAGTTCTGGCAATAATTCATTATTTAAGGTATTAAAACAAAGAAATTTAGCAAAATACAATCGCTACCCTAATTCTTCCGTTTAGCAAGCAACATCAGTATTAAAATAGCACTTGAACACAGGGACTGCTAATTGTACAGTTCGCTAATTGTCATTATTTCTCATTTATGGCAGACATTTGCGAACTGGTTTTGAACTTGCAATGTGCAAAGTGGATGACATCATTCTCCTTACGTATTTCTCACATTCATATCGCATTTAAATTGTTTTCTTTAATGGCAAACGAAATTAAACCAATTTATTTTTCACTCAGCGATGGAAAACGATGCAGAAATCAAAATGGTTTGTAAAAGAGGCAGCAGTTGCGGATTTGCAGTATTCGGTCCGCTGTGATTAATCGATTATGCTGTCTAACATGAGTGACCTTTCATGAATCGAATATCCGCCGTGAATCTGAGCCACCTCTCACAATTTCAAGAATGATTTGGCATTTACAAGCAGTTGTGTTCTATTGGTGGTCCATTTTGAAAGTTCAGTCCAACTTTTATGATGCGGCTGGCATGGATGCTGACTTAAGCCACAGAAAATCTTGGCATTGGAAAGATAATTAAAGCCGGCATTTCTCCTTATGTCACAGCCACAGTTGTTCTTGTATGCATAATGAGAAGAAGTGTCTTCTATGAAATTTGAGACAACCAGCTACTACCTCAAATTTAGAAGTCTACTGCCACTAACAGTTATCACTACTAATAGCAGTAAATGATAAACGTTTAGGATTATAGAACATTTCACAGAACTTTTCTATCTAGTGTTTTGTGTGATCAACCCTCAGCAACTCATGAAAGTAGAGACTAGGAGAAAATTGACTCAATACTCTCCTTATAAACTCCTCTGTTGCATGTCTCAAACCCATATGAAAAGGAAGACGATCCCGGACCGTGACAAGGTCTCCCGCAAAACTTAGTGGCCTTCCCATCGTGGTTTTTTCGTTATCAAATGCTGTGCTGAATCCGTCGTCGCATGGACTTAGAGGAACAGAAGGAAGCTGCGAAAGTTGGCATTAAGAACAAAATTCATGCCTTCTGCCGGCTGGGAGGCTGGTGAGGGGGGGGGAGGGAGGTAGCAGCACGGCGAAGGCTGAAGAGGAAGACAAAGATATCAGTCAGCAGTCATCAATGAAGTCGCTACCCGTTCCAGGAGGAAAACACTGACTGTGAGACCGTTATAGCAGTCAGATAAGGTTCCATGGTGACGAACCGAGCGCAGGTCGGAAAATGGAATGAGCAGGATCAGGTTGATGAGACTACAAGGAAGAGCCTGGATATATTTGGACTCTCCAACCAACAGCTAAGAGTCAGGAATCCTGAGCCGCCTCTGCGGCTGAAGCATGTCGACTCTACGACACACGCTCAGGCCGCTGACGACATTCAGCTCGGCTCATAGAATCATTCAACGGAACCCTGTCAACGGAAAGCAGTGGTAATCATCTGACGAAAGTTACAACAGGCTAACTCTCTGACTCCTTTCACAGGTTTATGAGGCAAATTCAGAGGGAAAATATGTGTCTTTCCTGGTGGACCGTATAAAATGCTGACTACTAAATCTATCATTCTACCGAGCGATTTCAATGCGCATGTGACAGCAGACAAAGAAACGTGGAATGGAGTGATTGGAAAGAACGGCTCTAGCGATCTCAGGGAAGAACGGCCATGTTGTGCAAAGAACGAAACGCCCGCCATGAATATCTTCTTCGAGCACTGAAACATGTCTCAGTATTATTGGCATAGGAAAACTGTCATAGAAGTCGATGATCGATTTAATCATCACGTGATCTCACTTACTACGCTTGGTAATGGATGTTCACATTCAGAGACGCGCAGAGCTGTCAGCTAATCATCACTCTCCACTGTACACGATGGAGTACCATGCGAATACCTGCCAGCAGAAGCGATCAAAGAATCAACTGGGAGACACTATCTTCTGTGGATACGAGGGCAAAACCTGCAAACAAGGCCGTAAGACAGTTTCAACAGATCCAACTGAAGACTGCAGACGGGAAAATGTATGGAAGCTCATTAAGAGCTGTTTGTATGGGACAATTGCTAAATGTCGCGGCTTAAAGCGGGTTTGGCAACCTACCGCCTATGGGTCAAATAGTAATCTTCTAATGGATACGATCGGTTCAACTTGCTGTCAGCGAGAAGACTGCATTCAAGAAGGGGCTTTGAAATAAAGAACCTGCAACTCGAATGAGGTACGCCGAAGCTTACAAGGTGACTGCGATCGTGTAGTCAAAACCGATTCCTTGAAAGAATTCAGTGAGGTGCTGGAGTCGAATTTCCAGATGGAAAGCAAAGTATTTTGGCAGATTATCTGTCGCCTTCGAGAAGTGAGGAAGGGTAGCCTAGGGACCTTGAATGATATGCCTGAATGTCTTCTTACTAGTGAAGAGGATATACTTTGGCAATGAAGAACTTTGAGGAACGTCTTAAACCTGATCAACTCGCCTGAACAGGGGCAGGCAATGTATATTATTCTCTCAGCAGATGAAGTTGTAAATAGGTTGACAAGTAGCATGGCTGCTGAAATCGATAAAATCTGTCGTAATATGATAACACGGAACTTTGTGGCTAACTTGTGTCTTTCAAACTGTAATGCCTACGGCAAAGACACCAGTGATGGAGAATAGAAGTTGCAGCACCGCTCTTCAAGGAGGTTGACTACAAGGAGAGTTCAAATTAGCAGGGTATCATCTAATTGAGTCTCTTGAGATATGTCTACGCGAAGGTGTTAGAAGGAAGCACCGCAGTGCAACTGATTACGATAGAAGAAGAAGAATAGTGTATCTTCAAGCCAGACCAAAGTATCATTGACCAGATCTTCGCCTTACACGAGATTGTTGAGAAATTACTTACGTTCGCATATCCGGCTTCGTGTGCTTTGTTGATCTGGAGAAAGTGTATGATCGGAAACAGCACAACATGGGAGTGCCTGAAAACATGGAGAATCGATGGCAAGTTGTGCAAGTCATCTAGTCACTATATATTGCTAACAGGTGCTGCCTCAGGGTAAATTCCCTTAAGTCTAGGTGTTTTATTGTTAGCACTGCTCTCTGCCAAGGCTTTGTGGTTTCTCTTCTCCTCTGAGTCTTTTACATGGAGAGAATAGTGAGACGCAACCATAGCAACTACCGTATCAGCGTAGGAGATGTAGCGAAGAAAAGGTTGCTATTTGCAGACGGCCTTCTTTCGTTGGTATCTCCCGAAACAGATCTCTAGCGCTGTATGGAAAGGTTCACATCTGAATATGACGTGGCCGTATGCAGGTGAACGCGTCAAAAGCGAAATGCCCAGTGCTTTGCCGTTCACCTGACGATTTCTGTATCTTCATGCAAACAGAGAAGCACTGAATAGGTGAAGAAGCTCATGTAACTCTGAGTCGTGTTTCCTGGTTATGAAAAATTTATGAAAGAGATCGATCGGCAAATTTGAATTGTCAGTAAAATTCTGTCTGGACTAGCCTGAACAACTGGGGCTAAGGCAGAGCTAAGTTGAAATTCTTAGCTGTCTGTATTTAAGTCCATCTTCATTTCCATGCTCACATATGGTCATGAATCTCTGGCCATGATTGAAAATCTTTGATTCCGACTACAAGTGGTTGAATTAACCTCTCTGACACAAGTCGTTGGGCTGATATTTTTCGACATAATCG